TCGGGGAAGATGGCACCGACGGCCTCCTCGCCCGAGGCGAAGTTGGTGGCGATGTCGAGGAGCGCAGCAGTGGTGCGTGGCACGTTCCGACCTAGCTCCCGCACCACGTCCCGGCAGGTGGCGCCGAAGAGGAAAGCTTCGGACGATCTCGAGTCGTCGCCGACGCTGGGCAGCTCGGTGCACCGCTTGAGAAGCGCGGATGAAATCTCGAGAGAGACTCACTGGTTTCGGCGGCAATTTTAAGGTCCCGGGGAGTTTTCGGGCGCACGACGCGTGCCCTAAAAATTCCCAACAAAGACCCTAACCAAGTCGCGCGATCGTGGATCCGTGAGGGAGGGAGGTGCTCGAGCCAGAGCCCCGCGCCGAAGTCCGACAAGAGCAAGGGAGGTTACGGATGATGAGCAGGTCATCATCCGCGCCACCTAGCCGGGCGAGCCAGTGTAGTCGGCAAGCCGAGTTCGGGTTGGTCTCATTTGTATTTCACGAGGTTGGCTGTTGCCAAAACGGGCGGGAGGCCGGGCGACACGGATAGCTCTGCTGAAGACTCGAGAGCCAGGTGGCTCAGGAGAAGGGCTGCGGTCTTTCTCGCTGTCGTAGCGGCTACCTCGGTGCACATGGTAGCCTCGGGCGGGCCCCTCACCGTCGTGGCGTTGTCGTCGGCCGACCACCTCGTGGTCTCCCCGCCTCGTGTCGATTGTCGAGGCGGTCCAAGAGCACGGGACCCTATGAGCTATCGGTGCTCGAGCAGTTCGGGATGAGCCGAGGCTTCCCGTCCCTGCCGAGGTGGTGCCGCTGGCAGGTTCGAGACGCCGCGCTTGCGTCGGGAGGCAGAACTCTCGGCTTGCTTGAACCCATGGCGGTCTCTAGGAGATCTCGAGTTCACCATGGGACCCGCCGCCCCTCCGCGGTAGAAGGCTCGGGCATTGCGCGAACCAGCATCGCCGCAGCCGCGACGTTCTGGCTAGCGCGATTGAAGATCGGGGGTTGTTCACTCCCTTCGTCGTTATGGATGCGGTGATGCACGTCGAGGGCCCTCCGTCGGGCTCCCCCGCCTTCGCCGCGACCTCGCTGTTCCTGTTCGAGAGAGTCTCGAAGCTGCTGCAGAAGGAGTTGGTCTTCCTCGACCTTGGCTTGGAGCTCACGAAGTTGTTCTAGGTCTGGGCGCTGAGGTCGCGCAAGAGCGACGTTCTCATTTCATGCGGCCGGCAGGACGGCGCGTGGAGGTGTAGCGACGCCCGCGCTGGGGCAGAGCGGGGAACGGCTACCTGTCCCCTCGTCGTCTTCGCCCGCCCTCGGCATCCCGAGCCCGACATGAAAACATTCGCGAGTGGGGTCGTAGGTGCCTTCGTCGTCGGAGTCGGAGTAGCCGAAGGAGTAGTCGCTTGCGGCCAAGAATTAGCGCAAAGCCCCAGGGTTGTGGAGTTTGGAGAAATCCACCCCGGGCCATGCCTCGTCCTCGTCCGAGGAGTCGGAGTGGGCGCTCAGGTCGAGAGCGAAGCGCTGGCGGTGTTCCGAGGGGTGCTCGTGAGCGGCAGTGTAAGCGTAGGCATAAGAGGCGGCAGCATTTCTCAACCCAAAGGGGTATGGGGACGGTGCCGTCTCCAGATTCTGCCCCGCCGGGGTCGGCTCTTCAGGGAGTGGTGGAGCGGAGCTGGACGACTGGGCATCGCCGCGTGCCATAGGCAAGTCTCCTTTGTCCAAGCTCAGGCTAGACAGGTCCCCAGCTAGGGACCCTGTGCCAACAGCTGGTCGTAGGATATCGGCGGGGGGTGACATGTCGCCCCGGATTCGCGTAGCGTCGGGGTGGCCTTGTTCGTGCAGTGCTTGGCGAGAGCGGCCGCCCGGACGCCGCCCGCGCCTGGGCTGCCGGGGCGTAACTTCATCGTTGGTTGGTGGGGCTCGAGGAGTGAGGAGCACCATGTCGTACTCATGCCCTAGAGACATGAACTCTAGGCTCCCGAACCAAACCACGGTGCCGAGACGCAATGGTCGTACGGGGTCTGCCATCCGGAACCTGCTGGGATGACGAAACCGACACGCAGCCGCCCCTACCTGGCGCGCCAACTGTCGGTGTTTCGAACCGGGGGGTCCTCAACCGACTAGTGAATTTGTTCTGCGTGCTCCCGATTCCGGATGGTGATGCAAAGAGACACAAGGTTTATACTGGTTCGGGCAATCGAGGCCCTACGTCCAGTCTGAAAGATCGATCTTGTATTCCTTGCACCGAGGTGCTCGTAGTAGGGGGTTACAAGCTAAAGGAGAGAGGGAGCTGGTCCCAGGTCTCGACAGGGCGTCGTGCGGGCCGCTTGAGACGTTGCTCTCAGGCGGCAGGGATGTGTGTGTGTGTGTGTTACAAGGTTTTTTTCCGCCCGCCCTAAGTGGCCCAAGTCCTCTCCTTTTATAGTTGAAGGGAGGACAAGGACCGTACATGTATTACTATGCGGCGTCGTGCCAATAGGGGTGGTACGTCCGAGCCCCTGTGGGCTGTCCCCTGTGGTGGCGTGGTCGTCGGAGTGGTCCATCCTTGGAGTCTTGGGGCGGCGTGGTCGCCCCATCAGATCTCAGGCGTCGTGGGAGCCCCGGGAATGCCTCGGAGTGGGCCGCGGCGGCGATCGTGCAAGCCTTTGTGGACGCCGGATGTGGCGCGAGGCCGAGACTTGGTCGGTGCCGAGGGCCGGCATCATGATGTGGGGGTCTCGGCAGCACGAACCCCAAGATCGCCGAGGCCCCGGTGTCTGATGCCGAGGCCTTGAGCGGGCGGCCAATTATGGGTACTGGCGTTTGGACACAAGTGGTCGGTAATCCCGTCATACCGTCCCCGGCCGGTATGGCGGCGATTGTGGACACAGTGGTAGGACACGGTGGTCGGTAATCCCGTCGTACTTCGCCCCTGTCCCGGCCGGTATGGCGCTGATCGGACACACAGTGGTAGGACACAGGTGGCCGTTAATCCCCGTCGTGCTCTGTCCGGCGGTATGGGATACGATGCGACCTCGGGTCGCGTCGGCCCTCCCTGTGGCGTTGAGCCACCGTCTGGCTGAGATGCGGGAGTGGTTGAAGCATTAATAAGACATGACGAGTTGTCGGAGGGTCGGCGGCGAGGGGGGCGACGGATCATGGACGAGCCGGCCTCGAGCGACACGGAGAATGAGGCCTCGCGCGAGACGGAGATCAGATTCCTTGCCGAGGCCTTGCGCGAGACGCCTCGCGCGATACGGAGAATGTACCCCTGCCGAGGCCTTCCCTGGAGAGCCTCGCCGAGGCGGAGTTTGTTCCGAGACCTCCTGCTCGAGGCTCGAGGCGAGGTGGAGGAGGGCTCGGTCGTGGCAGGTGAAGGGCCCACGGCTTACCTTCTAGCTTTATTTTAATATTTGCTCGAGGTACCCCGTTCTAAGGTACCCGACAAATAGACTGAGAGATGGCTGCAAAGATGCTATACAGCCAGCGGTGAGCTGTATTATTAGCCTCGCTCCGATCATCACACGTTTCCACCTGCAAACGTACAACACACACTCATCGCCGAATCCCGGCCGGCGTTCTCGAAAGTGGGCGAGGAAGAGGAAAAGGAGTCCGCCTTTTTCGTAGCCGTTAACAACAACCTCGGCCGTAAGCACGGCGCGGGCAATGAGGCAAGCAGGCCTGCGCCGCACTTTGCATGCCTTGAAAGCTGAAAACGCAGGACGTATCGTACGTGTGCAGCCGAGCCGCGACGTCCGGAACCATCACTGCTCCAGCTGTTGTCTGACGGATCAACGGCGTCGTTTCCTTTACACCTCACTCCATACTGTGTGCCACACGGCCACGGCCAGGCCTTTATATGCTGGGTTTGCAACTGTCGTCGAGAGGGCGAGAGGCGATTCAGTTTAAGCTCACCTGCGTGCGCTCGGCAGACTGCAGTTGTTGGCATCGAGTTGTCACTCGGCTCGCTCAGGCTCTGCCAACAGCCATGGTGGCGGCTTCCGGCCGGGATCCGGCTGCCTGCGCGCTCCTCCTCCTCCTCCTCCTTGCTCTGGGTGCGGTCGCCGCCGCCGTAGATGCCAGCCAGGAGGAGGAGGTGTCGCCGGGGAGTCCTGCCCCTGCGCCGTCCCCCGCGAGCTCCATAGGTAAACAGTAAGCTCCGTGGATGCTGTACATACTTACTTCCTGTACAAATCACCATCGTTTTTCCTCTTCTCTGCTGAATGACTAACTGAATGCTACGAACGAACGTCTACTGCAGACTGCGGGCGCGCGTGCGCGGCGCGGTGCCCGCTGTCGTCGCGGCAGAACCTGTGCCGGAGGGCGTGCGGGTCCTGCTGCGCCCGCTGCCACTGCGTGCCGCCGGGCACCGCCGGGAACCACGACGTCTGCCCCTGCTACGCCGCCATCACCACCCGCGGCGGCCGCCCCAAGTGCCCTTGAGCACCCTTATTGACGCATGAGGCCGGCGCCGCGACCCAACGCCTCTCTTGTCTTGTGTACCAGTAGCAGTACAGCACTAGGTACACGCAAGTACGTGTACGAACAATAATGCTATGTCACCGTGCGCGTACGTAACACCTGCAATGCAACACTGAGCCGACCGTTTGTTGCCTGCCTGGTTCTTGTTGTTTCTTCGTTTACTACCTGTCTCTCTGTGGCTGGGACGCGAGACCGCGAGGACCGTGCTAGCACGAACCGTACATGCTGCGAGCGAGCGAGGGAGCGAGACAGTGACCGAGAGAAACGGATCCGCGACGAACTCCTCCTCCAGTTGCCCGAGAGACCCGGCACAGGTGTCACTGACCAACTGACCTACCCGGCGAAACCGCTCACGCGCAGTGAGGAACTCGAGACGACCATGCGGGCGGGTGGGCGTACCCACTGACACGCAGGCCCCAGCACTCCAGCTTCCTTCAAGGCCACACGTACGTACGTACGTTCAGCTATTGCCACGATCACCACGTCGCAGAGGAACGTTGGTCGGACGTCGGAGAGCGAGAACGAACGAACCGCCGCGGCAGGCACACGACACAACGAACATGGCGCGGAGAAGAGCGCAGGAGGAGGAGGACGACGACGAGGCGGAGGAGTCGGTGGAGCAGGTGTTCGAGGGGCGGGAGGTGCCCGGGTGGCGGGAGCAGGTGACGGCGCGGGCGTTGGCGGTGAGCGCGCTCCTGGGCGCCATGTTCAGCGTCATCGTCATGAAGCTCAACCTCACCACGGGGATCATCCCCTCGCTCAACGTCTCCGCGGGCCTCCTCGGATTCTTCCTCCTCACCTCCTGGACCAAGCTCCTCGCCCAGGCCGGCTTCACCGGCGTCATGCCCTTCACCCGTCAGGAGAACACCGTCGTTCAGACCTGCGTCGTCGCCTGCTCCGGCATCGCGTTCAGCGGTATGCAGTGCACACCTTGTCCATCAACCGTCAGTATTCTGGATCGGGACTTCCTGATCACCAAGGCTTGCCAAACCGCATCCATCGCATGGCCTCGAATTCGCGACGCGACAGTTCGTCGTTTATAGATCTAGATTGGGCTTTTCCAGACTCTGAATTCTGAATTTCATTGGTCCGCGTCGCGCTCTCTGGACTTGTTTCTTTCCTGCTCTGCTGTTCGGGGGCGTCAGTGATTTCATAGTCCTGACTCCTGACGCCTGACGGCTTCAGATCAAAATCCGTTGCTGACGGACGCGTCAATTAATCCGGCAGGAGGATTCGGCAGCTACATGTTCGCGATGAGCGAGAGGATCAGCGAGCAATCGGGGGAGACTTGGGACCCGCACGACATCAAGAACCCAGGCCTGGGCTGGATGATCGGCTTCCTCTTCATCGTCAGCTTCCTCGGCCTCTTCTCCGTCGTGCCCCTCAGGAAGGTACGCACGCACGCACATCCACCAACTCTGTCTCTGACGCCGCCACAGTTCTTTGTTTCTTCAGCGTTGGATTCATCCGTCACTGTAACTCGGTTGATTCATTCCATCGTGGCGCGTTCAGATAATGATCATTGATTACAAGCTCATCTACCCGAGCGGCACTGCGACTGCCCACCTCATCAACAGCTTCCACACTCCGCAGGGTGCCAAGCTCGCCAAGTACTCAACTCACTGCTCTCTGACGCAGATGCTGTTGTTCCTCCGATCCTGAAAAATTGCATGTGTCTGAACTCTGAATCCTGAAACGGTCGCTGCAGGAGACAGGTGAAGACGCTGGGGAAGTTCTTCGCCGGCAGCTTCGCCTGGGGCTTCTTCCAGTGGTTCTACACCGCCGGCGAGGGCTGCGGCTTCATGTCCTTCCCCACGCTGGGCCTCGAGGCCTACAGGCAGAAGTAAGCCCAGTAGCTTGATGAATTGTGCTTCAGAGTTCAGTCAGCGTCGCAACTGAATTGCTGTTGCCTGCACCTGCAGGTTCTTCTTCGACTTCTCGGCGACGTACGTGGGCGTCGGGATGATCTGCCCTTACCTCGTCAACGCCTCCGTCCTCCTGGGAGGCGTGGTCTCGTGGGGCATCATGTGGCCGCTCATCGAGCAGAAGAAGGGCGACTGGTACCCGCCGATCTCAAACCCAGCAGCCTCCGTGGCATCGTCGGCTACCGGGTACGTACGTAGGAGACGGTGGGAGAGCTCCAGGGTTCTTGCAAATCCACCCATCCACCTCGAGAGTGATGCAGCGCAATCGTGCCTGCAGGTGTTCGTCTCCATCGCGCTGATCCTGGGTGACGGCCTGTACAACTTCCTCAAGGTTATGACGAGGACCGTGACCGCGCTGGTGGTGCAGGTGCGCGGGATGATGTCGGAGCCGACGCTCCCCATCTCCGGCGGCGGCGGCGAATCGCTGCCGGCAGCGGAGGAGACGTTCGACGACAGGCGTCGCACGGAGCTGTTCCTCAAGGACCAGATCCCCAACACGCTGGCGCTGAGCGCGTACCTGGTGATCGCCGTGGTGTCCATCGCCACGGTGCCGCACATCTTCCACCAGCTCCGGTGGTACCACGTGGCGGCGTCGTACGTGATCGCGCCCGTGCTGGCCTTCTGCAACGCGTACGGGTGCGGGCTCACGGACTGGTCCCTGGCCACGACGTACGGCAAGCTGGCCATCTTCACGGTGGGGGCCTGGGCGGCCGCCTCCGATCCCGACGGCAGCGGCAGCGGCGGCATCATCGCGGGGCTCGCAACCTGCGGCGTGATGATCGGCATCGTGTCGACGGCGTCGGACCTGACGCAGGACTTCAAGACCGGGTACATGACGCTGGCGTCGCCGCGGTCCATGTTCGTGAGCCAGGTGATCGGCACGGCCATGGGCTGCGTGGTGGCGCCGTCCGTGTTCTGGCTCTTCTACAACGCGTTCCGTGACATAGGCTTGCCGGGGTCCGAGTACCCGTCCCCGAACGCGCTGGTGTACCGCAACATGGCCATCCTGGGCGTCCAGGGCCTGGGCTCCCTGCCCCGGCACTGCCTCCACCTCTGCATCGCCTTCTTCGCCGCCGCCATCGCCATCAACCTGGCCCGGGACCTCGCGGGCGCCCGCGCCGCCGCCTACATCCCGCTGCCCATGGCCATGGCCATCCCCTTCTACCTCGGCCCCTACTTCGGCATCGACATGTGCATCGGCAGCCTGGTGCGCCTGGTGTGGGACCGCCTGGACCCGGCCAGGGCCAAGGCGTTCGCGCCCCCCGTGGCGTCGGGACTCATCTGCGGCGACGGCATCTGGACGGTACCGCAGTCCGTGCTGGCGCTCGCCGGCGTCAAGCCGCCCATCTGCATGAAGTTCCTGTCCCGCACCGCCAACGCCAAGGTCGACGCTTTCCTCCACAGCTAGCTAGCTAGCTAGCTCTAGCTCCTGATGGAGCAGGAGACTGAAGACCTGCTGCTTGCTTATCTGACACCACCACCAGTCCACCACCACCAACCACACACTGCTCTGCCGCTCCTGCTGCTGCTGCTGTTGCCCTGCCATCTACTGAGTAGCTAGTACTAGGAACGTAGGGGCCGCCCGGGGCTCGTGTCTTGTTGTTGGCTCGCTTTAGAATCAGATGCTTTTCAATGTGTCACACACTGCTGCCGCATAAATACCGGTTCTGTAGAGCAAGTCGTTTTGAGATTGTCTTAAGTCAAATATTTTAAACTTTGACTATAAATAATTTTTTTTGGGTTAAGTTTGAAAATATGAAAATGATGTAAGTAGATTCATCTCAAAATGTAGTTTCATAAAAATATATATTGACTATATTTTATAAATATTTTATAACAAAAAATTGTAGTCAAAGTCGTTTCTTAAAGACCGTGTCGATGTCCAAAACGACTTGCTTTAGAGAACCGGAGGAGTATAGGAACTACCGTTTAGATTCCAAAAAATTTTGCACAGTACTCATCACATCGAATCTTGCGGCACATGCATAATTATACACTAATTGTACTAATTACACTAATTGTAGACGAAAAAAAAACTAATTACACAGTTGTGTGAGAAATCGCGAGACGAAACGTTCGAACCTAATTAGTCCATAATTATACACTAATTTAACAAATACAAATAAAACAGGCTACAGTACCCAAAACTAAAAAAATTTGGCATCTAAACGCGGCCTTACTGCTGCTAGGAAGGAAGGGAAGCGAAAGCCAGCAGTAAAGTAGCAGCAAGTACTACGAGCAGTGCTGGATTTGGGGCGGTGAAGTGAAGCAAGCAGCTAGCTAGCCAGCTCTGACTGAGCTTCTGAACTGAGAAGTGCCCTTCCTCTTCTGTAGCCTGTGTAGTATGTAGGAGAACTGAATTCAGTGCTTGCACTGCATTGCATGCATGGATGGATTTGGATCCCTGGTATGGCAAAGGTATGCACCATGTTCGCTTTATCATATCAGTCATGACATAGTATTTTTCTTTCCTAACAAAACAGCGTCAGCTAACTTATAAGCCACGATCAAGCGAACATGTGATAGGTTGTTGATGCCTGCGGCTGCCACAATTGCAACTCATCAATCGCCTCGAGTAACTCTGGGCATAATTAACCGAAGACCGAAGACCGAACCGAAAAGACCGAGACCGAGACCGAAAAGACCGAGACCAAAAAGTTCGGTCATGAGTTCGGTCCTGGCTCCCAACTAACCGAAGTAACCGATAGAAGTTCGGTCATATGTGTCGGTTAACCGAAGTGACCGAACTGACCGTAGTTCTGTAGACTTCGTTCGTAATGTCATTATGTGTGATTGTGATTTGTGAGAACTGAGAAAGTTGTGTGCTAGAACTTGTCATAATAATGTGTGGTTTGTTTTATATATTGTGTTGTTATTTTTTTTGCCTTCAAATAGCAAGCATGCTGTTGAAAATTGCTATAGATTCTGCTATTGTTTGTGGCTGCTACTCAGGTCCGGTTAGTTCGGTCGTGACCGAGACCGAACCGAACTAACCGAGACCGAACTTCCTCGGTCTTCATTTTTTGCAAAGACCGATCGGTCCCAGGTTTCTGATGACCGAACTGATCGAATGATCGAGGAACCGAACCGATCGGTTCGGTCTGACTGAATGCCCAGGGTGAGCCTCGAGTAGAGTAGGAGCAGGAGCATGTAGCTAGGCTGCGCTATAGGTAGGCACAGGCTCTGAGGCTCGTGTGCGCGGGCAGGATAACACAACGAGCGAGGATAGGAATATCTCGTATGCCCTGTGGGAGATCTGGTTGGTCCCCGGCCCCCGGCGGCCCCTCGCCTGCAGCCACCCCCTGGCGCGCCGGGGCAGGAAGGCTCTGGATCTGCACAGCCCAGTGTCAGTGTGGGTCAACCGGCCGGCCACTGCCAGGCCTCCCTCCGCCCATCATTGCGGATCATGTGATCCGTATAACTCGCTCGCTCGCCTGGCTCATCTAGCTCAGCGCGTGTTTAGTTCCAAGAAGTTGGAATTTTGGGTTACTGTAGTAATTTCGTTTTTATTTAATAATTAGTGATCAAACATGGACTAATTAGACTCAAAACGTTTGTCTCGTAATTTTCTACCAAACTGTGCAATTAGTTTTTTCTTTCGTCTATATTTAATGCTCCATATATGAACCGCAAACATTCGATGGGATAAGTACTGTAGCACTTTTTGAGATATTAGGGTGGAACTAAACACGCGCTCACCTGCACTGCACACTCGCATCGCTGGACCGCAGCGCAGTGTCATGTGTGCCGCCCGCTGGCAATAGCAGCCTGCCGCCGCCGCCCGCCGCAGCAGGTGACAATCTCCATCGAGAAGTAGGAGTAGTAAACGGTAGCAGGCCAGCGACTGTGACTGAGACCACGCGATGCAAATGCAGTGCCCAGCTCGGCAGCTCTTTTTTGCTTTGTCCTCGGGAATCGCGCGAAATCACCCTCGCTTTCAGAGCCTGATCGGGTTGTTGCAGACCTGCAGCGCAGAGTGCAGGAGCAGGCGCCGTACTCGTGCAGGGTAAATGCGGGGGGTAGAAAAATAAAAGTTAAATGCACTTCGATAGTTTAGGGATGCAATGTTGTATCTGGTTAGCTTTAAAACCACCGGTGATTGAAGATAGAAAAATAATATTTATCCAAAAACTCATTCGTGACCATTAATAATTCCAAACTATTATTTTTAGTGTTACCTTATAATGGTATCATTTATATATATCCGACTAAATGATATTTGTGGGAGCAATTACAGTTGCTTCGAACACTACTTATTCTTTAAGATTACACGGATATATTGAAACAATAGAAGATCTATGATTTTGATAATTTATGGATAAAATTGTACCTAAAATGTAAAGTTTCATTTTTAATAGACAAAATTGAGTTGAAATTAAAAGTTAAATGCACTTTGATAGTTTATGGATGAAATTTAGCCCAAAATATAAAATTTGAGGACTAAAACGATCATCTTCATAGTTGTAGGATAAAACTGAGCATAAAACTAAAGTTTGAGGATCTAAACGGCCGTTTTGAAAGTTTAGGGATGAAATTGAGCTTCGAGTAATAGTTGAGAGATAAAAATGACTATTGTGGAATGGATGGACGGATGGAATCGCTGTCTGTCACATGGCTTTATGCCGGGGATTATTTTAGGCCTTTGGGATGTTGCCATGCCAACCAAACCAAGAGCCTTCTGCTGCTTTTCTGTCCCTCGCCCTCGCCCTCGCCCTCCCCCGCCACCAGATCTCTTGCTGCGTGATTTCCACCAGGACAGCAGCAGCCAGCAGCCGAGATTTTCGCCAAGCACCCACACCTCCCTGGCCTGGGCCTGCAAGGGACTCATGCATCAATGCCGCTGCATGGCATTGGCATGGCTGCGTGCGTTACCAGTGCTGCTGCTGCAAGTGGTGTGGAGTAACAGTAACTGATGTGCTGGCCAGCAAACACCACCACACCTAAACCGAACCGGGACTCATGCTAAATTTCGCAGGTCCTGCAACTGTGCCTTGTTTAGTTGGCGAAATTTTTTAGTAAATGGTACTGTAGCACTTTCGTTGTTATTTGACAATTAGTATCCAATCATAGTCTAATTAGGCTTAAAAAATTCGTCTCGTGAATTTCGTCTAAACTGTGTAATTAGTTTTATTTTTTATTTATATTTAATGCTTCATGCATATGTCCAAAGATTCGATGTGACGGGAAATCTTGAAAAATTTTACAAAATTTTAGGAACTAAACAGGCACGGGGAATTGCTACTAAACTTTAACTCCTACGGTAAAGGTTTGGCAGAGGGCCTTTCTGTTCATTCAGGAAATGAATAAAATAAGAAAAAATATGAAAGCTTAGCTTCGGGTTGTGTTGTTCTGAATGGACAAGCAGCCCCGGGCCTGTCAGGTTCAGATTACGGCGAGCAGCGCAAGCGCAGATCTGGCGGGGTTTTAAAATTTGAAAACATGACAATTGCACGGCGCAGGTGCTGAATTGCGCTCTGCGGACACGGATCGTGGCTGCTGTGGCTCTGCAAACCGTCAGAACGTTTTCTTCAGGTATGGATCCTCACTGGAGTTGATGCAACTGCAAGAGAGAAAAAGCCAGAAGACTGCTTCAGTGAAGCAACACGAAATATGCCTGAAGATTTGCTTCAGCGAAGCAACACAAAATCTGAAAACTTCCCAGGTACGATGAATTCTTTTGAATTCAGTGGCTCCTGAGTAATTCTTCAGAGCAATGCTTCATAGCGGCACTGAGCAAATTGTGACTAGAATGAGAACTGCTTCGCACCAAATTTATTTAGCAAGAAAAAAGAAATGCTCAAATTTGGCTCACCAATCGAAACAACCAGAGCAAATTATCCAAATTGTGTAAGATCCAGGGAAGGAAACACCAAGCGAAGAAACTTCAGCGAAATTCACATCAAGCGAAGAAATCCGCAGCGAAACAAGCATCTGGGAAGGCGGAATTCAGAAGGCCAGAACCATCCCATACCTGAATTCGACCAAGTCAACCCACAGAAAACGATCTGAGCCACAATTCACCTCCGCACACGAGGGAATTCAAGCGTGGAAGAAGCATAAGCACCTGATGGCGCAAGAACGAACTCGTTCTCATCGAATTCTCTGAAATTCACCGAGAATTACACCCGGCGACCCACAAAGCGCCGAAATTCAGAGCGGGAAGACCTAAATTCCCTCGCGCAAGCACCGCAATCGGCAGAATTCTACGCGATGATAACTAGGCACAAGAGGGAGGCTGCATGGTTTCCATGGGCTTTCTTGAACCATCAACAGGTAGAGCCGGCCGAGCGAAGCGAGAGCCCCCGCAATTCAATTCACTCACGGCCGGGGAAGAGAATTGCTGGGAGGAGCCAAGCATTCCATCCAACACACCACCACCCACGAGTTCACAGTTCAAGAAAGCCTGTG